CTACTAACAATGTTTTGCGGTATACATTATTTTATTGTTCATAAATATTCTGAGCAAAGTACGAATAAGTCACTATAAAACATAATACATTAAAAACCGCCCATTTCAATTTATCACGTCTGATAGAGACTTTGCTTGGTGCGCCATGACACTTGAGATGAGAACCAGCCAAATCGAGACTTTGCGTTTATGTCTATATCGTGTCTTGACGTACAATTCTTTTCCTTACTTTATTATTTGTATATTATAAATAATTACCTTATGTACTTTCTGTTCGTTGTGAGCGTCATTGCATGTTAAATATTCTAAAAGTGACACGACATCAACTTGACAAAAATCACTGCATTGTTAAGTGAAAATAATCTGAAACGATCACGTTGTGACGTTCATTCTAGCACTACAATAAAGACTTTCCATTTTCGATATTGCAAAATTCTTTCGTTTTGGGGGGGGGACAGAAAAAATGAGTTTGACATGATAATTAAGGAATTATATTAAGAATAATTCATAACTAAATGTTTGTCTTATGTACCCATAAATTATTTTCATAATTACCAATTACACAAGAATATTACAGAAAAAAGCTAATTTGCTATATTCTCTATATTTTTGCCTTTTATTTGTCTTGCATTATGACTGAAAGAAGCTGAATGAAATTACAAACTATGTAGTGTGTTCAACAACTCATGTATGAACAATAACTTTAATAAATATGATTTTACTTAGTAAAAAATACTGTATTTTTCTGCATAAAAACGAAAGAATTTCCCAATGTCGCAAACGGGAAGTCGATATTGCAGTGCTAGACATGTACTCAGAATGACAGGTGAACTGGGGGGATGGGTCTGTCATGGGGTGAAGCACATGCCAAAACTAAGGATATAATAAAGTGGCACGTTTTTGTGGCAGCCTTATGTGAACAACAAACTGTTAAGAGTGTCTTTGTGAATACAAAATATCATTGATACAAACACAAACGAGTTGAACTAAATAAGTAAATTACTCTGCATGTAACTAGCCACAACAATTTTATAGCATCATAATTGGTTGAAATCCAATGTGTTTTCTAATTTGTCTGTACATTGGCTAATAAGTATGCTCTATAAGAAAAATAAGCCAAATGTTTGTAAAAAGGTGCCTGTATTTCAAACCTGTTT